CTTGCTTTAGCTGACTTCTAGTTACAGCATTTTTTGACAATGATTGTTTTCAATTGAAATTGAAATAATCACTTAAGGCAATTATTTTTGCTTGCTAAATCCACTTTCATCAAAAGGCACTCACAAACTGATATTTAGTACAGTTCATGGCTATATTGAAATACAATGAAATATTTTCAGCAATTTGTTACTGGAAGCTAGACGAGACAATTTCCAGAGGTTCCTTTCAACCAATATTTCTACAATTATGTAATTTGATAAGATGAAATTGCTTGTAATATACCAAGTCCTACAAACATTGATATTATAGAGGTAAGACATACAGCATGCTCTGAGGTAATACAGAGCTGCCTCATAAAACATGCCTGACACTTAAAAGAATGCAGAAAAGTTTACAATATCTTTCATATCACTAAAATTAGCTTCAGCTAAAGCCCAGGGCTCCAACCTTCATTGCACAAGAAGGGTGCCCACTCCAGTGAACTGCAACAGCTGAAAGCTGTGGCTGTGGGGATTCAGCAACAAAGAACCAACTACACCTGAAAACTGATCTGCAAGGGGATTGCATCTGACGCCTTCAGAAATTAAGGCAAACAACTAAAAAAAAAAAAAAAAAAAAAAAAAAAGAACAAAACCACAGAATTGACACTGTCTGAAAAGGTTCCAGCTGCATATAAAAGCAAGTGACAGCTATGATGGTCTTTATAATCTGATGAAAACCAAATAACTTACCCAGTGCACAGTGCTGATGATCACCCAAATTTCATGAGAAAGGAGAAAAAATTCATTGAGTTTTAGCTTCACATCTACTAGTGTCCTGTCCTACACAACTGCAATCTATTGTTTAATTGTAGGTTAAAATGAAGTAATATAAATATGCACGCTGTTATATAAAAGGACCAGGGGATGAAATTACATCAGTTTCTAATAAGGCCCTTTGAAACCCTAAACTAGCCAGTTAGCAGCCAAATTATTTTTCTTCTACTAATACAGACTGAACAGCTAATAATGACTATAAGAAAAATAAAATAAATAGCTTAAAACTTCTGTAGTTCCAAAATCTTGTTTGCTACACCAAGACACAACAAGGGATTATTTAAGTGCTAAACTTTATTTACTATTTTATCATTCATCTCTCTACTTAAAAATCTTTTTCTTTCCTGGGTTCTGGTAAATAAGATCTGTACATTTCCTCCTCTTCTATTTCGAAACTAAACAGAAGAGTTTTTAAATGCACCTCTAGTTAGCATTTAGTAAAACTCAGTATATTAATTTGGAAGACAACGTAAAATCTTATATGCTTCATTATATCTTTTGTGTTTTTAATATGTTGCATATAAAATCTATAGTAATTACAGTTACTAAAATACTTCGCATAGACACTTCTGTCTCCATAAAACCAATTTATGTGGCTTTAAGTATTCTTTTATTTGCTAAGTTGCATCCTGCACGTGATGACCAACATTGCATCATAATAAAAATGATTATTTTCTTCAAACTGGAAAATACATCTTACTATTTTCTTCATTATCATTCAAAATACTCATAAACTGAACCTTTCTATCAATCAACTGCACATTTTCCTCCTATGCACGGTTGTACAATCATGTTGTGCATCTGAATTTGGAAATAAAAAGAGAATTGTGAGCAACTTATGTTAAGATATCTTCAAAGGTGCAGCACCAATGAAGTATGAGCCCCACCCCAGCTCATTCTCTGTTGGTTGGTTGCAGGAGCCCAGCTAGAACTGACCTGCACCTGACGGATCACCCCCCTCTTCAATGTGAGGTTGTGGTATGCACCAAGTTCCTGGTGTTCAAAATATGGCTATTGGTCTATGAGGCTGTGAGTAAAGGCAGGAAAAATAAAGTACAATAATCCCTACTCTGCTCTAGTCCTGACTCTGTTTTTATCACTGCATAATATTCATTCTAAGACCAGATTCACTCCCTCTGCTACATGAGACTGGGAGGCAAAGGAAAGCAAGCACAAGGAATTCATCAGAAGTGAAGCCCTACACATTGAAGGAGGCTGACTTCTATCAGTCAGTGCATAAAGAAAGAAATGCAGCAGGGGAAGGAAGTTTCCTACAAATAAAAATAGGGAAAATAAATAAATTAGTGACATAACAAAACAAACTATGTATACATTACATCTAATCAAGCACGTGGCTCAGAAAACACAGCAGCTGCTCATTTCCATCAGATGCAGCTCCAGTCGAGGCTTAGAGAAGAGGGGTGCACTTAGACTGCTGAAAGAAGCAGTATGTGGTCATGCCATTTCTACCGAGACAAAAGTCGAGGAATTTGTTTCCCATATGCTAACAAAGATGCTGTGGAGTTGCTCCTAACTACAGTCATGAGTTTCACTGATACAGTTTTAGTATAGGAACTGTAAAAAAAATTGTTTTGTATTTGTTTATTGTAAAAGAATGGAAGACAGAGCAAACAACAACAGCAATCTCAGAATTATGGAAAGGACTATAAGAATAAAAGGTGCATTACAGCATATCATACTTTCGAGGAACCATCTACTTGCACAAATTAGCATAATTTCTTTTCTTTAAATTAGAACTTGAACATTTACATTATTATTTAGCTATTCCAAGTAAACACATCTGCACTCCTTTCTCAGTGACGAAAAGCTCTTAACAGACTGCTGAGGGAAATTAATTCAACAAAGGAATCTCTCTATTCAGAAAACTTGCCTGTCCATCAAACATTATCCAACAGCAAGCACCTTCTAAACTATCTCAGTTGCAGAGACAGGCAGTCTTTCAAGTAACCACAGACTAGAATATTCAGGGCAAGATGCCAGCACAAGTTTGAACACAGGTCTTGCATTCATGCTTATTCACACAATCTAATGTGCTTGCAGCAGGGGCTGGATCCTTAGGCGCCTACAATTTCCATGATCTAAATCTTATGTACTCAGCTCCCAGAAAGAAATTCTGAAGCCGAAATTAAATACCTATGTGCCCTGAACAAATCAAGAACCAGAAATAATTAACGATGACCAAGAACTGCCTAGATCTAACCAATACAAAACATACCAAGCACTACAAAACACCAGGTTAATACAAGATGAAAGGGTGTAAGATATACATCTGATATCTTCCTGGAGATTAACCTAATAAAGACTCAGACAGAAGGAGATGTTCTCTACCTCGGATCTCCAGCTCAATTCCTTGCCTGTGGATTTTAAAAGAAGTAAGCCAGGAACAATATTTTATTTTTCAAAATTTGACGGTAAGAAGAGTTCTACTCTAATATTACAGCGAAGAGACCTATCAAGTGGGGCTCAGTATCTGCTCTATGCAGACAGGCTTCACATGGCAATTGCTTTTCTCAAGATAGCAACATCTGGGGTAGGCCTCAGTATGGTTACACACCGAGCAGGAAAAGGGTGATGAAGGGGGACTCCTCCCACCTACTGTTCTGAAGTTCTGCTGCTCTTCAGCAAAGATGGAAAAGAATAATCTACTGCCTTGAATGAGGACTTTCTGTGACACCAACAGTACTCTGACATCTATAATGCAACATGGAGTATACATCACCTCCATTTTTAATCTGCAGAACTGTTCTCACATTAGTTTAAAGCTATATAGTAACTACGGAAAACTGGAGATCAGATGATAAGATAATAAAATGGATATTAAACTACGCATTTATAAGACATCCACCGATGCAAAAACATTTCAACTACGATGAAAGCACATTTTTGCACTAAGCTAAACTGGCTCATCTACTTGCTATTAATAACTCTACTATGTATATTGCCGAGAGTAATTGTTTTGCAGACCATGAGAGAACTTCTGCTTAATCTTTTATGACCTTTATAAAACTTTATTAAATTATGAAGCCATGTAGCTTTTACATGCCCTGAAGTTTTGGTTGGGAACTGTTTAAATACATAAATACATGCAGCTGTCCTGAGTAGTGCCACCACAGTGACTTGAGACACTGTTAAGACTTTCCAGTTCTGTCCCATTTAAAATCTGCAATAAAAGTCCAGTCCAAGATAAAGTCTCAGATAGGAGCTACCCAGTCAGGAGCAAAGTACTCCTTATTAAAGAAAATTACTAACATCTTAAAAACACACGTGCTCTTCTCAGTTCCTTGCACTTCTGTTACATATAAAAGTCTCTGCTATAAAAAGATATTAAAACTAGTTTATTGCATGGATAACCTATTTCAGCATGTAAAAACAGAAATATGAAATCCCTTTATTGAACTTTAGTATACTGAGCCCAAACTGAGACTTGTGGGGAACATGGCGTTCACAAATCTGCCAGCATTGTGGCTACTAGAAATTAAGATGTTAAAAACAAAGCCAGTATTTGGGATGATCTAGCCAAGTTTAAATTCAATCAGAACACACTGCCTCCTCAGAACTGCAGCCTGGTGGCTAAGGAAGTCTGGAAACCACATCCTTAAAAGAGAGGAAAAATTAGAAAAGAAATAGAAGAAATGTCTACCCATATATTTACCAGCAATTTCATCAAAGGATACCTCCCTCTGACCCAGGACAGGGAGATACTGTCAATACTGACAATCCTCTTGAAACACGAGAGAGTTGGGTATATCATCTGTAACAGCATATCACCTGACAGTTCTTGTTTATGTTTCTGGTAACAATTGCTTTAACAAAACTAGCAGGCCACAGTGGTTATATGTATTGTGATACAGCTGTTTAAAAAAATATCACTGTGCAAGACTAATGTTTTGTTCTTCAAGTGTACCTCAATTATATCCGTCACCTCTTCAGAAAGTCTAGTTCTTCAAAATTCTATATTACTATGTTCTTTTATCTTTCAGTGGTAAAAAATAAGATTAAAAGCACATATTTCATGTATGAGCTCAAAAAAAGTTTGAATATAGAGGCTTAGAAGTTTTTCCTAGATCTCACTGTAATTTTCCAATCTGAAGTAAAACCCTTTTGTACACAATTTGAACAGAGTTTGTTTGTTTTCCATTAACTTTAGCAGCTTTTATACTTACTGACTGTTCACTTAGATCCTGAGAGTCTTCCATGGAGGTTGTTCACCTTTCCTTTTCACTACAAGCAGAAATTATCTTCCGTTCAATTTATAGCTCAGTGATCTAAATTAAAAAGGAGATAAAAATGTTAACATATTAGTCTGTAGCCCTCGCTTCTAAATAAATCTGCAATAAACAAATAAACAATTGAGACTATGATACTATTAAAATCTGCATCAAAGTTCCCAATGACTTCCTTGAAGTCTAATTTATATAATCAATTTCAACACCTCCAGTACTCTTTTGGAAAGCTATCTAAAACAGAAACAATGCGTAAGTAATAATTTTTCCACTCCGTCAAGAAAAAACAGCTATAAAAACAAACCAATAACAAAGCTGTTTAATACTGCCAGCTGTTTAAGTAGACCAAAAAAAAAGATGAAGATAACCCTTGGGAAGACATATTAGACAGACAATTATGGAACACAGAGCAAAACTGATTAATACACTTTTAATGACTATTTCTTAGTCTTTAAGTGTCTGGAAGAAAAAGGTTATTACACAATTATCAGCATGAAGTCCCTATTCATAGGTCCATTAAATTCCTTTAGGATTAAATAAAATACACTAAGTGGTTTACAACAAGCAACTCCCTGCAATGTGCTAAATGATAGACGATATCCTAATTATCCACAATGTCTATGTCTTCTCTCAAACAGTGAATCATTGTTATCAAATATTGAAATATTAATTATGAAAACTGAGAGTTCTGTGCAATAATGATTACAGTAACCTTAATTATAAAGACACAAAAACACAGAATTGTACGTGTTAGAAGAGACCTCAGGAGATCATCAAATCCAACCCCATCCTAAAGCAGATTCCCCACAGTAGCTCACACAGGTAGACATTCAGGTGTGTTTTGAATACCTCCAGAGGAGACTCCACAGCCTCCTGGACAGGTCAGCCCATTTCAATATTTTGTCACCCTCACAGGAAAGAAGCTTTTCCTCATGTTTGTGTGGAACTTCCTATGTTCCAGTTTGTGCCCATTGCCCCTTGTTCTGCCACTGGCCACCACTGAAAAGACCCTGGCCCCATCCACTTGACTCCCGCCTTTTTGAAGCATTGATAAGATCCTCCCTCAGTCTTCTCGAGTCTAAACAGTCCCAAGTCTCTCACACTTTCTTCATAAGAGAGATCATCCAGAGAATCCTAATCATATTTGGCGCCCTCCACTGGACTCTCTCCAGTGGTTCCCTGACTTTCTTGAACTGGGGAACCCAGAACTGGACACAGTACTCCAGATGTGGCCTCACTGGGGCAGAATAGAGGCAGAGGATCACCTCCCTCGACCTCCCAGGCCACACTGTTTTTAATGTGCCCCAGAATACTATTGGACGTCTTGACAACAAGGATGCACTGCTGACTTGCGGTCAAACTGCTATCCACCAGGATGCTCAGGTCCTTCTTCACAGAGCTCTTTTCCAGCTGTTCAGCTTCAACCTGTACTGATGAATGCGGTCTTTCCACCCCAGTTGAAAGACTTTGCACATGCCCTTGTTGAACTTCATCAGGTTCCTTTCCGCCCAACTCTGCAGCCCAATCTAGTGTTACTGAATGGCAGCACAGCCTCCTAGTGTGTCAGCCACAGCTCCAGTTTTGTATCATCAGCAAATATGCTGAGACTGCATTATATCCCTTCATCCAGGTCACTTATGAAGATGTTGAACAAGACTAGACCCAGTGCCAATCCCCAGGGAACACCAAAAGTTACATACAGGCCTCTCACTAGGCTCTGCACCACTTAACACAATCTTCTTAGCTCTGTCAGTCAGCCCATTCTCAATCAATCTCATGTTTGCTTGTCTATCCCACACTTTCTAATCTTACCTACAAGCATGCTATGGGAGACAGCGTCAAAAACCTTGCTGAATTCAAGGCACACAACATCCACTGCTCTATCCTCCTCTACCCAGCCAGTCATGACATCATACAAGGCTACCAGGTTGGTCAAGCATGACTTTTCCTTTGGTGCATCCATGCTGGCTGCTCTCAGTAACCTCCTTTTCTTCTTGCCTGGAGATAGCATCCAGAATAAGCTGTTCCATCGCCTTCCCAGGGTGAAGGTGAGGCTGACTGTCCTGTAGTTGCCAGGACTCTCCTTCTTGCCCTTTTTTTTGAAAACTGGAGTGTCATTGGCTTTCCTCCAGTATTCAGGCATCTCTCCTGTTCTCCATGACCTTTCATAGATGATAGAGAATGGCTTGGCAATCATTTCTGCCAGCTTCCTCAGAACTCGTGGCTGCATCCCATCAAGGCCCACGGATCTGAGTGCATCAGGTTTGCCTAGATGATTTCTGACCAGATCCTCCTTGACCAAAAGGAAATCTTCCCTTCCCCAGACCAACTCTCTTCACTCCAGGTTTTGAGATTTCTGAGGGGCATTCTTAGTTGTAAAGATCGAAGCAAAGAAGGCTTTCAGCAACTTTGCTTTCTCAGTGTCTGTTTGCCACTACCAGGGCTCCCACCTTATTCAGCACCAGATCCACAATTTCCCTAGTGTTTCTTTTGCTACTGACACACTTAAAGAAGTCTTTATTGTTGTTCTTGACTTCCCTTACCAGATTAAATTCTACATGGGCCTTAGCCTTCCTTGTTGCATCCCTGGATCCCTGCATGCCCTGACAATGTTCCTATGTTCCTCTCAATTGGCTAGACCCCTATTTCACTTTCCATAAACTTTCTTCTTCCATGTAAGTTTTTCCATGAGCTCCTTTCTCATTCGTGCAGGCCATCTGTCACCTTTGCCTAATTTGTTACTGTTAGGGATGCATTGATCTTGAGCTCAGAAGAAAAGGTTCTTGAATGACAACCTAATCTCTTGGGCCCCTTTATCTTCCTATGCTCTAATACATGGGATACCTTCAGGTAGGTTTTAAAGAGGTCAAAGTCACACAAATATATTTCAGTCTCCATTCTCAGAAAAAAAAAAAATCCACTTTAGAATAACAAGTAATTTGCACGATTTAAAATAAAGCAAGTGGCACAGATATTGTATATATCAGTAATTATAAAATTATAAATCAAGCCTACTATGACATTCAAAAGAGAACAAAAATATATTATTGTATGCAAATGTATAAATTAAGTAGTCCAAACAATCAAGCATTACTTGGATTTGCTTATCAGCAAGGTACCCCAAAATACTATTACCTAAGAGTATTCCCTATACACATAAACATTATGGAATCATTTTGGTTTAAAATTTTGACCACTAGGCACTTGAACCTTACGCTGTCTTCAACCTGAATAAATGCAATTATTACTTATCTGAGCTGTTTATAGCTGTTTGCATGAATTGGAGCTGCAGACCAGACTCTTATCCCCATACACCTCCCTGTATTCACCTAGGAACAACTCCTCTTGCCTTACTTTTTTTTTCCAGTCTCCCCTTGGTCCTGCTGCTGGATTGGACTTTCTTCTTTTCTTTCCCTCAAAGTTTCAGAAAGAGCTTAACTGGCATTTAATTAATTTTGCTGTTTACTTGCATAAGGAAAAGAACAACTGTAAGCAATCCTGTGGTACTTGTTCAACCTTAAGAGAAAGCTGTAAAAATTTTGTCTTTCAAGGTGGAGGAAATCTCCTTTCAATTTCAAAGGCATTCAAGACATGGATGTCTTTGCCCAGGATACCTTCAGCACAACAGCAACCATCTTCCATAGTTTCTGATCAACACAGAGCCAACAGCCATGCATGTGTAAAAAATTTTTGTGATCTTTGTCTAGATGAGACAAAAGTGGAATTAAAAGCTTTCTTTAAAACACTCAATATAGGCAAATTTAAGACAGGAGGCTACTGAGAACAATGGCTATTTTGAAAGAAAGCAGTTCTACATGGGATTTCCTGCAGCAGTCCATTACTCATCTGCCCCTGCTGAAAAAGGCAATTCCAAACACAAAGGTGAATTTTCACAAATGATCCTGAAATATTTGACATAGAACTTAAACATAAAATCTGTTTTAATTTAATTAGGAGTTTGAAATGTGTGCATTAGTAAGATTGCCTAAGAAAAAACGGTGAAGCACTCAACATAAAAATAAAACATTCAGAACAAAATCAGCATTTTAGAAGTCTACAGACTGTAGTCAATACTGGGCTCACATTCAAGCTGTAAATGCTCCAAATCTGACTGTTGGTCACAGAAAGTGGTAAGTATCTCACCTTCTGTATGAAAGTCAACTACAGAACCATATTACAACAAACAGAACACTGATGTCTTTCTGTACTAACCAAAGTACACTGAAATCAACGTCACCTTTTTCTTTAAAACATCAGGATTATCACCAACTGTTTAGATGAATCCTAATCATTTAGGTCCAACAGGAGTTCTCCTATTAAGAATCACCTATGTCTCACTCATGATGCATACACTGTACCCCAGTATTCACATGGATGTATCCTGTGAAATACAACATTAAATATGTCACTTGTATTAGTTGTCTTCATAAAAGATGGGCCTTGAAGAATTTTTAAAATAACTTGACTGAATTGCAAGATAAGCTTATTTTAATCTTTTTTTGCATAAATATACTATGCACTAAATGCTATGTACTAAATATAACTTTTCACAAGCATTAACATTATAATAGATTTTAGGGCTCTGTTCATTTTCACACTGCCTCAAAATTTAAATACTGTACTGCTGGAAATTAAGATATTTCTTTTTAAGTAAAATTTGGATGTATGGTTTTATCAGCATCCTACCTAATGGACCAGGATATCAACAGCTAAATCCTACTAAATTTTGAGCACAGCTAAAGCTGCTGATTATAACCAACTTCTAACACAATGATTTTTATAATGGCAGTTATCCCAATTGCACTTAGACCAAATCCTTTAGGGTTTAGTTTAATAAATTTGTAAAAGAGGAGAAAAACCATTAGAGAAGTCAGTGATTTAAATAGGACCAACATTGCTCCCTAATAAAGATATAAAATTAAAGGATAATAGTAACCTCGTGCTGTTTTATGAGGCAATAATCCAGTTACCAATCTGACCTTGTAGTTTATCCCATCAAGAGAACCAGATTAAAAACAGAGGAAGGGAGGGCACTCTTATCC